TTCTACACCTTGGTTCATATATTAAGCCGCCTGATGTGTAAACTTCTCAACAATGAACCTTAAATCGGGTTCCGCTTCTTCAAAGGTTCTACACCTTGGTTCACATCTTGAGTCACCTCAGGTGTAACCTTCTCGGAGATGAACCTTAAATCGTATTCTTCCCCTTCAAAGGTTCTACACATCGGTTCATACCTTGAACCGCCTCAGGTGTAACCTTCTCGGCAATGAACTTTAAATCAGACTCCGCCCCTTCAAAGGTTCTACACCTCGACTCACATCTTAAGCCACCTCATGTGTAACCTCCCCAAACATTACACCTTGGACTAAACTTGAACCATATAAAGTGTGATCCTCCTGAGCCAACTAGACATAACCTTATAGCCCATACATCTCGTCTTTCATAAGTACAGTTTCCAGTATGTAAAAGTGTTTAAGCACATAAAGACGCCTCCCAACCTCCACAAGCCTACACGACTATTCAAAACAAGAAATTACGGGCGATGACTTAAAATACAAGCAGAACAAATGCTTAAATAAACACTACTATCTCTCAAACAAAGTTACAAACCCTACGAAGATTAAGGATGAGATGAAATCATTCTCATGAGAACGACCAATCTGTTGCAAAGCAGCATCAGGCATATCAGAGAGGATTAGGGCCTTTCCTTCGAAACTAATCACTATGGTTTTGCCAAACCACATGACCAAGGGGATACCATACATATATAATCCTCTCACGTATGGGCATACAAAATACATATAAGTGAAAACCAACATAAACGAAAATTGCAAAACAAAATCAAAAGTACGATTAATCATAAAAGGCCCATATGGAAATTGTAAGAACAAGAGAAAGGAAATCAAAAGCTATTACAAAAATGCACCCACCAAAAAGGGTGACTAACAATTAAGTATTCAATAAAAATAAGGAATCACTTGGTCACATCGGTCTTGGAAGCATCGTCGGTACCCCGATTCATCTGTAACTAATGACTCACCACTGTCTTCATTAGCTTCCATGTCCACCAGCTTACCATCCACAATGTTCTTAAAAAAGTACACTGAGGAGATGTTCAACTCTGGATATAGGTACAACACCCGATCCTTAGCCTGGTTGAAAGCCATATCTCTGACATTAAGGACATCCATCTAAGACTTCTCCAAAGACTTTTGCAGGTCGGCGCTGGACCTCTCCGAAGCACTCAAACCATCGGTAAGCTTGGCATTTGAGGCCTTAAGATCCTTATTTTCCTTGGCCAGAGACTTGTTCTTTGAGCTTTCTTCAAGCAACTTCTTCTCTAGAGTTGAATGTTTGTCAGCATAAGACTTCTCGCTTTTTGTCACCTATTGTATGTCCTTCTTAAGGTTTATACACCTCTCTTCCAAGTCGTCCCCAGACTCAACCAAACCCCGGGCCAACACAACACACCTCATCAGGTAAGAACTCAGGTTTTGGGTGAGTTTTTGAGGACCGAGGCTCTTCACTTTGTTGACATCCTCGGTGGTATTGAGTTGGTCATAAAGGAAGTTCATCCCATCAAAGCTGTTTGACAAGAACTTATTCTCATAGGATATCGAAGCTGAGCCCTCAACAGTATCCTGCATCTGAGCCAAGACTTCCAAATTAACCTAGCAGAACTCATCCATCATTATTGTATTCATCTGCTTTGAAGATCTTTGAGAGGGCTCCTTAATTTCCAGGATATGCTTGGCCGATGATTGAGCTGCGCTATGATAAAAACCGCCTTCTGGCCGAGTCCTTTCTTCTTCTTGGTTACTCAGAGTTCCAAACTAGTCAAGTCGGATTTAGACTCAGAAGGCCCTCCAACCCCTCTTCAGGCAGCACAGGCAGCAACCATCAACTTCTTTTTCTCTTTAATAGAGAGATCAATCATCTTATCTTCAAAAAACATTAAAAAAAGAGTATGTAAGAAAGAAGCAAAAAACCCTTAGGCGATGGAGAATTAAAACGAGCCTTACCCAGAAAGGTTAGAACCAGTTTATCAGGCAAGCGTAACAAGTCCTTAACCTTGAACAGATGGAATGAGTTTAACACTTGTAGATATTTGTTAGAACATAGTTTGATTCTACAACCCTTGAGTGAAATTTTGATGATAACAAAATACAAAGAATAAAATTATTCCTAAGGTATATACAAAGAAAAATTATGCTTCTAAAAACTATGCTATGTATATGCAGAAGCTATGATAGAATCAACATCAAAATAGAAGCAGCATCAGAAGATCAGCAACCCATGTTACACGGTGAAACACTAAAGTTTGATGACCAGAATCTGCGCCTAATCAAATACACTCTGACTCTGATTAAAGACATCTTTTCCAAAGTCATCTACACTCTGAAGCGTTATCAGCAGAAACAGAAAAGAAGATTCTGAAGCGTTACTAGGCATTCAAGACTGAATTAAATACTAACGACCTTCTTCAGACAAAGATCTTCTACAAAAGGAAAGTGCATTATTATCATTAAACCTGCTTTATGGACAACGTATCTTTGTTTGCCTATATAAACAGGACTGCTTGTGAAAAGAAGTACGCACGTACGCACTCAATTTGCTAAGCTATTCAAACCGCGCTCATTCAAAGCTTTAGCAAAGTCTTTCTATTCCAATCTTAGTTTTTGTAATTATCACAGTTGTGATATACGGTTTTGTAAGAAAACAACATACACACTAGTTCAATTCATTTGTAAAAGATTTCCTTGAGATAAACCGGTCTGTGGTTATACTCAAGAAGACTTTAATAGTTGTTAAAGTAGCTGTTGCACCCCAAAATTTGCCCTCCCATATTCTTCAAGAAATTGCCAAGCCAGGTCACAAAATTCCCCAAGGGTTATGCAGTTCAACTGTCTCCTATACAGTCAAAACTAGGGTTTGAGTTCTGATCAAAGAAAGGAAGTTTTCAAAGGTCCAATCAAGTCTCATATGCCTACAAATATGGTCAAGCATCCTCATATCAAGTTTCAAGGCATTCAGCTCAAAATTGCACAGTCAAAACCCTAAATTGCACTACAGTCAACTGTAGGGGCAAAATGGTCATTTGGCAATCAAAAGTTCAAATTTTTGGTCAACATATCATTTTGAAGCCACAAACATCATTTGATCAATGCTTGATCATGATTCTCAAAATTTGGCTCAGAAATCATCAAAGATGCAAAAGTTACTATATTTGGACAGCTGAAAAAGTCAACTGAAATTGACCAGGGCATAACTTTCACATGGATTATCAGAAAAATTCCATCCAAAGCTCATTTTGAAGAGAAAGACATTTCCTACAACTCATCTTCATACTTCAAGTCCAAGAAATGCTCTCACAAAAAGTTATCAATTTCAACATTATAGGTCATTTTCAAAAGTCAACAAAAAGGGACTTTAAGTCAAAGGCCATAACTTGAGATTGGTAAATCAAAATGACATTGGACCAAAGGAATTGGTTAGAGGACTCAAAGACCTTTCCAAAATGTCCAAGAACATGTGAAAAGCTTAAAAATTGAGCAAGTTATGCCTTGTGGAAGTTGGGAAATTTTTGGGAATTTTGAAAAGTCAACAATGGTTCAAATGACCTAAAAATGCAAATGGGCCTATTTTTCTTCCATGATTCATCATTCTAAGCCTATGCACGACCACTTGGCCCAAAGGGAAGTATTTTCTCATTTTTTAATTATTTATTTGAATTTATATTAATATTAATTCATTTAAATCATTTAAATATGTAGAAAATATAAACTTGATCTAAAAAAATCTTTTTGTGCACATTCTACTCTCAATATTTCGTGCTTGTTCAATTATGGAAAGAATTGGTGTGATTGGAGCTAATTGACACAAAGAACCATGTGAAAAAGATTCAAAAAGATTTTATAAAATCAAATATTGAAACTATTGAATTCAAAAGATTTTGTACAATTTTCTTAACCTAATATGCTCACTATATGATCAGGAATGAAAACCTAATGGCATTACACTGGAGGCTGCGCAGAAAACAAAAGTTCAAAACTTAAAAATTCTTGAAAAAGTTCAAAACTGAAAAGCATTCTAGAGGTCGATTCAAGGCTCCAAACTTGGTTCAATAGCTTCCTTGACAATCTCTGAACGTGTGCCAATCCCTAACATCAACCAACACTACAAGAAAAATGATAGATTGGGACGGTTATTTTGGCTGATTACGACGGTTAAAACCGTCGCAATTTACAATCTACGACGGTAGAAGTACCGTCGCAGAATCGTGCGTCCCCAGCCTATTTCGCGACGGTTGCAAAAACTGTCACGCACAACAGATAGCGACGGTTATATACCGTCGTGAATTTGACTTTATTTTTTGTTTTTGTTGTTGTTTGCGACGGTTATATACCGTCGTGAATTTGACTTTATTTTTTGTTTTTGTTGTTGTTTGCGACGGTTATATACCGTCGTGAATTTGACTTTATTTTTTGTTTTTGTTGTTGTTTGCGACGGTTATATACCGTCGTGAATTTGACTTTATTTTTTGTTGTTGTTGTTTGCGACGGTTATATACCGTCGTAATCTGATTTATAAATTTCAAATAATATTTTTATTTAAATTATTATTTAGTAAAATAATTTTAAATATAATATTATTTTACTATAATATTTTACTATTATATTTAAATTATTATTTACTTTAATATTTTTTTATTTATAGTATTTTTATTTTATTTTCTATCACTTTTCAACATTGTTTTGAAATGAGCAATCCAATTGTTTTGAAATATTTACTAACTCAGTATTATTAATTCAGTTGGGAAACCATTTGTAAAATAATGCAAGGAGACATTGCTTTTGCTATTGAAGCGTGAGATTTCCGTGAGATACCAGTACTTATTATTGGGAGAAAAGATTTATGAATTATTGCACATTGTAATATGCTTATACCACCTTATAACTTTGCTACAAGTTACCTATAACAAGTGAGATTTTCCGATTTTCAGGAACTATAACAAAAAGAGGTTAGCTCCGAAATCTCTTGATCATTTTGCAATCTTTGCAGCCATTTCTCTGACCAACTTAGCAGCTACCATAGCAGTCATTCCATCAACAGTATCGCGTTGTGGGTTGAGTTCAACGACGTCTCCAGCAACAACATCACCTTGAAGATTGTGTAGGATGTTAAGAACATCGCGGAAAGAAAGACCTCCCGATTCAATATGAGACACTCCCAGAGCAAATGCAGGATCAAGACAATCCACGTCTATCGAGATATACACCCCTTTCACACCTTCCCCTAGTTTCTGCCCAATTTGATCTGATGAAAGTGATAATATAAAATGTTAGAAAACAGGAAAGGAGAATGTAGAAAGAATTAAAGAATTGATCCATCTCTCAAAAAAGACATCTCTTGTAAAATGTGAGACATACCAAATTGTTGTTTAACAGCAGGACTATTAAGGTCGAAATTCTTTAAGGTGTCCATCATTCGACTGTCCCATTCAGTGCCTCCACCCATGTTGTTTCTGAAACCAAATATATAGGAGAAAAAGAAAGGATGTGTGAATCCCTAGTGGCCAGAGAGTACAGTTTACCAATATATTACTAGAAAATACATTGATTTATATAACTGCAGCACATAGAATGACACTTTAGTGAGAAATGACAAATAAGATTTACATTTCTGTGCAACTTTAGGTCTAAAATCAACGTAGTGACCATGAATCCAGTCATAAGTAAACTCAAACAAAAGGTTATTGTACAAAAGCAGAAGAATGGTCATTTAATTTCCTCCAGGACTGGCATTTATCCTAATTCCAAATGTTAGGTTCTGTTAGGTAAAGAATAGGGAGTCAGATTCAGTGTTAACAAATAGCAGCGCCATGGGCGCTATGATGGATATACATGGCGGTGGACAAAAAAAGGCTTGGAAGATACTAGTACAATATAAAGAACTTACAGCATTTCTTCAAGTCGTTGACGGTACTCAGGATTCTGCAGCATCCCTGCCAAAAGCAGCAACAGTACATCAATTATCCATCGGCCAAATTTATTAACATTTCTAAGATTAGACAGAACAACACGCTTAAGCAATTTATGTAACCTTTTTTTATATATCCAAAAAATAGGATTTACTTGAAGTTTAAAACTTATCTGTGCTCACTAAAAATGAAAAATAATCATTATTAAAAGATAAAAGGAGCTAATATTACGGATAAACCATCTTCTGCACTGTTGGGTCCTCCATCATTTTCTCTAAAGCATCCACCGATAAGACTGATTTTTCTATCAAAAAAAAAAACAAGGTCATTAAGAACATTTGGTTAATTCATACAGGCACAGAAGCTCATTTATGACAACTTTAAAAGAACAAATATTACAAACACAATGTGTTATATGATTAAAAAAAATGTATAACTTAAAAGGTATAGCTAAGAACACAGTCATTCCAGGTGAATTTAAAAGTAAATATATGAACTCTTCAAGTTAAAATTAAAACCACAACCATTTCATTCAAATTCAATTAGGGAATTTTATTCCCCTGCATCACATGGGAACTAGTAAGAAAGACATACTGACCTATTCTAGTCCAAATATATCAACATTTTCACGGCTCCTATGTTTGAGATGCAGTACATAATCAATCAGGTCCCTGCATACTATGTTTAGTTTATAATAATAATTGTACAACATTTGAGAACTCGTGATTCCCACTAGTGCATCGTGGTTTTACTATTTCTCTGTATTTTGATAAGGCCAGCAGCAATGGTTTGAGTCCAAGCAACTAGAACTTATTATTACTTCTATTCTTATCCAGTTTATAAATAAATTGACTTTTGGGGTAAATACTACACCTTAAAGCTAACTATTCCCATCACATTCGAACTAAAACTGGCTTTGGCCTTTACCAGTTTCCAAATGCCACATGATATCCACCTGAAATATCTCAGTTGTCAACAAGGGTTTGAAACTTGACTCTCTTTTTAACGCTCCGCATTCGATCATATCCAATACCAATCTTGCTATGCATCAACTTGATAGCCAAATCAGCATTCCCAGCTTTTCTTAAGGAATGAATCATCACAGTTCTAATCTTCCCAGGTATTTCTCTACCCCTATCCACAATTCCATCAGCCAACTTACAAGCCTCCTTCACACGACCAGCTTTACACAGCGCTCCAATCATATCTTCATAAGCTGTTTCAAGAACAACCCCCATAGGTGCAAGCTCGTCCAGCACTTTACAAGCCCTCGCAACTTTTCCTGAAAGACACATTCCAATTGAAAGAGCCCTAAAACAAGCAACGTTCGGCGTTATCCCTTTGTCAATCATCAAATCCCACATCTTGACGGCTTCTTCATTCCTATGCACCCTGAAAAGCTCACTGATAAGTATAGTAAACGTATACACAGTATGCTCACAACCATCACACTCCATCCTCTTAAACAGCACTAAAGCATCGGCTATCCTCCCACACTTACAAAGTCCATCGATGAGCGCATTGTAGCAATATGAATCCGGCAGACACCCCTTCTCAGCCATTTCATCAAACACCTTCTCAGCTTCATCCACCCTTCCCGCCTTTCCAAGTCCATCAATCAAACTAGAATAAAAAACAGCATTGACAACAACAGCATTCTCATTACAAAACCGAAAATAACCCAAAGCTTCCTCTAGTCTCCCACTCTTACATAACCCATTAACAATAGCACCATAAGTAACCTCATCAGGCTCAATCCCATCCATTTTCATCCTCTCAAACAACCTTAAAGCCCCATCAGAATTCCCACTCTTCCCATAACAATCAATCAAAGTGAATACATACACTATATTCATACTATTCATACATAACACAACCAAGTGAATTTGAGACTCACTTTATTGAATCAAAATATAAAATATGGCAAACTAGATTTGTCAATTCTACCGACAAAAAAAAAACATTAATTAATAAAAACCACACGATAAAAACAGATCTCGGACACCGATTTCAAACAAAAAACCTGAAAATTAAAATTGAGGGTTTTAAAAAGTCAAGCAAAATTTGGAAAAAAAAATAGTTAATCTGCTTTAAAAGTTGATGACAGACTTATAAAAAGAGACAAACAAAAATAATTAAAGAGAGTCTTATAATTAAGGATGGAGGTAGTATGATTCAATATAATGACCAAAGTAAGATATATAATCACAAGGAGATGAACCTGCAAAGTATCAAAGTCTGAGCTTTGATAGCATATAGGCGTGAATCAGCATATGCCGAAGGAGACTCGAGCATCTTTAGTTTCCACAAAAATGTTTCTTTTGGTAAAATGTCTGCAAGAACCTAATAATTCAATCAACAATAGATTTTCAGTATTGAAAGTAAATTAAGTGAAAGCTCAAATGAGCAACAACTAGCCAGATCAAAGAAAATGCAGTGGTGAGCAACCATGGTCTTCCATAATCCAGCATATTCCACTTTTACTATGTTTAAATTACAATGGAAGAGCAAAAATAAGTTAGCCAATGTTCACTTAATAATTATTTTGAATTGTGCTTTAAGCACTGTCAATGGCATTAACTCATTATTAATCACACAACATGCTGCAAATATTCAAAGCATAAAGAAAAAGTCACACACTGCTCTCATAATTGAAATTTTTTTATTTAATTTTTTTAATAAAAACAATAATAGAATCTTACAGGAAAAGATGATGCAAAAGTATCAAAGTCGCCTAGTGGCTCTCTTGCTGCATTTAGTAGTGGAAGTCCTTTCACAGCGTTATCGAACAATGTCCTCAGAATGTCTCCTAATGTTAAAAGAAAAGTTGAAGTCATAAATAGAGAAAAGTATCATTTTCTTTGGTAAAAGATAAAGACGGAATACAAGTTATTAAAAAACAGTAAAGAAAAATGAGCAAACCTGCACTGAAACTGAGAATGTTAGGCAGAGCAGGAAAGTGTGTGGCAGGCAAAGCGTCCAACAATGATGTTAGAAGTTGCACATGGGACCTACCGAAAGAGGTAGCTGCCAAATAGGAAGGTCATGGTCAGATCAGGTACTTTGTGATTCTTTAACTGATTTGCTGTTACAGCAAAATCAACTTGGATAATATTCAAGAATATTCACTCAAAGCTCTAGCTATAAAATGCATTTTCACTGAACCATTTCCAATAAATGGCATCACTCTGAAAATACTAACGACATATTAGTCTAGGCTAAAGCTTGGCTGCGTCAATCAACAGACTTGCCATTAACATATCCATAACACCAAATTTTCATTGTTGGGAAGCATGAGAAGTATGATATAATTGTGCTAACTAACACCAATGTGACCAATTTAAGTTTTAAGATGTTAACCATTTAACCAACTTTCATGATAATTAACCTACATATATTTAAAATTAAAGTAATTTTTATATTAATTGATGTTGTCTTGACATTGAAGACCGAATACATGGAGTGGGGTATGAGTACATGATCCATCTAATGAATCTATGATTCCATATGATTACTTTTACATGATGCCTAAACCATATCTTATAAATTCCTATGTTCTTCACTAATAAAACCAGTAGAATATTCGTGCGGCACCAATACAATTATAACAAAGTTTGTAAGTTATTAATTTATCAAAGCAAAAGTTTGTGGATATTATGATGGTAGATACCTGAAAAAGAATTTGGATGATTCAACTTGGTTTTGCAAGTGGACATAATTCTTTTCCGGTATAGTGGGCTAGAAGGCTGTGGAAGTAGATATCACTAATGAGAGTGACTTGCAAGATGTGTGAAGATTCTGCATTTGGTGGTCTTGTTCTTGGATACTATGTCCAAACATGGATTCCATATCACTTCTTAAAAGTATTTTCCTTTTAGACTTCGCATAATTTTTCAACAATTACAACTAAAATCAAAATCATTTTTCCTTCAAAAACTGAAAATACAACCAATAAATAACAAAAAATATAAAAAAAACTGATAGATTTATACTATGAACAGTTTAAACGATAATAATAATGATAATCACCTGAACTTCAGAAAGCTTTCCTTCATTGAGAACTTTGAAAAGGGCAAAACCCGCCGGCGTTTGAAATAGTACCAGCATTTTACCAGATTTTCAACAAACCTGAAAAACAAATCATCAAATCTTGCGTTAATCTTGCAGTTGTGTTTCATGTGCAGTTTTTTATTATTTCACTTCCACTTCTTTGAACCAAGAACACTTGAATTTGAGTCACAGATCCACATTACAATCAAATGATTATATCTTGTTTTTATGTCAAAATGGAGTTTTGCTTTAAATTTAAATTTCAAGTCAAATTCAAATTTAATTTGAATCCAACTTGGTATGGGATAGACGTTCATGTTCTTTGTTGATAATGATACTAAGCAAATAAGGGAAAGATTGTGGAACAACGATCTAAAGAAAGTTGTGCATTTGGATAGAATCAATGAATCAATGGAACATGTCGGGAACTTACTATATTCAATATCATTTTATAAATGTTGAATTTTACCTTTTTTGAGATTTGACAGAACTTGTTTTTACATATAATGAAGTTGGACATAGTCCCTATTTGACAAGTTTAGCTCTAATGTTGCAACAACTTAAAACGTGAACTATTTGATGCTTTGTTATTCATAGAAAATTGTAACACAGACTAGTGTGAAGCTTGTTTAATGTCCAGACACAACACTTCAGCTTGCTATCGGATTAAACAAATCAAGAACTACATAGTTAACAATCTTTTTTGTAATCAAGAACATCTTTGGAAAATGCATACTTGTCCTCAAAGTGACATTATGTATTGAGATCATTACGTGATATAAATGACAAATTACAATACTAATGTACCTCTATCGAATTCAATACCAGAATTATGTGTAAATATTTATGACAGGTGAAAATCTATACCAGGTAGCATCTAAGTAATGTATAACTAGAAGCAACCCCGAGTTTTAAAATACATTTTATACACAAATAAAGACCTTTTGAAACAACTGGTAAATACTCAGCTGAATGCAGACCTTTCTCTAGGGAGATGACAATTCTGTACCAGTCAGTATCATCTGAATGGGGAGTAAGGATTGATGCACATTACCTCTTCATCCTTTATACAAACATTTGCTCTGTGAGACTTGAATAACTCTAATGCAAAAGGAGTCACGTGAACACAACCATTCAAGTACAAAACCGAGAGACTTCTGCAACCGTCTCGTAATGCCTGCAGGCCATTATCATTGAGATTACGGCATCGATTAACATGCAGTCTCTTCAAATTCTGACAATATAACCCCACTGCTTGCCATCCAGATATCCTCACCTCATGACATAATGCTAAGTTCCATTCTTCAAGTAGTGTACATCCCATGGCTATTGCAACAATAGAAGTATCGGAAACAGATCTGCACATTCGAAAGTTAAGGACTTTGAGGTTTGAGGACAATCTTATTCCAAGCAAGGTATCTCCTAAGGGATACCAACTTAAACAAGATACGTCTAGATACTCTATACCACCGCCACTAATTATTCCCGTCACCCCTTCTGGGTTGAGCTTACAAGACCAAGCCTCTACATGTGTGAGAGATTTTGAACACCCTTTGAAGCCAACACCTCTTATACTCTCACAGTGTGATATGTTAACTGCCTGAAGCTGACGACACCTCTGAGTAAGAGCTTTCAACCCTTTGTCGGATATTTGTGAGCAGTACGAGAGGTTTATGCATTTCAAAGATAAACAAGCAGTGGCTAAAGTCTCTAATCCGTCATCAGAAATGTTGATACACCGATAGAGACTAATTGACGTCAATGAGGGACAACCAGAAGCAACCAGGGATAGCCCGTAATCAGTAACTTTCAAACAACAATCTAGATTAAGTTTCTGTAAATTCGAACCATGGCTTAGCAGACGGGTTAATCCTGAATCATTGAGCTCCGTACAACCACATAAGGATAAAGACTCTAAATGTTGAAAGTGCATCAGTAGCCTATGGAGATGGACAGTATGAACATCAAGACCCTTTCTCGACAAAGAGGATGGATTTAATATACTGAATGAACACTCAAATTGCAGTGACCGGCGGTTGAAATTCTGAATATGGAGCCACCGTAGTCTATCATGTTCATTACAAGTTGTTCACAAGCATTACAAAACCATTATCATCACAAGTCCTTTACATCATACAAAACTTTCACTCTCTCACTTGGCTCACGATTCATTCAATCAGAAAATCACACAAAAAACTCAGAAGGAGATTCACAGAAAGAAAGAAAAGCTCACCTTCTGGTTATCTCAAAACAGCATCATCACCTTCCGTTTTTCAATCGTCCTCAATGCATCTTCACTGAATCAATAACTTCATTCGTTCATCATCTTCATCAATGCAACTGATTCTGCAACTTCAACCGAAACACATCACCACGGTAAAATCGAAAGAAAATTGAAAAGAAGTAGAAGAAGATTGAATCAATAATTTATATACCTTGTTATTCGGATGATACAAAGATCGCGCAGAAGATGAAGAAGATTGAGTCGAATCGAAGAATGGAAGCTTCACCATTCTAGGCGCAACATCGTACTTCCGGCGGTGGTTCTTTGCTTCAATCGGATAAAAAGCTCTTTCACAAAACCTAATCCTCTTTCAATTTTGTTTGTTACTCCTATTTTGTTTTTTTATATTTTTATTTGTTGTATTTTGTTTATAATTTAATAATAAATATTAGTTGTTGAAAATATTATGATATTGTGTTGATATTATGATATTGTGTTGCTGAAAAAAAGTGGGAAAGTAAAAGAATAAAAAAAAGTAGCCTAACCGTCGTGACAACTGTCGCAATTCAGGAATAATGCTTGAAAATCTACGACGGTTGAGCCTAACCGTCGTGACAATTGTCGCAATTCAGGAATAAGGACGGTTTTGTGGGAACTGTCGCAATTTATGTGTCGTAAATCTCTTTTTTTCTTGTAGTGCAAGACGCAAAGAATTGGTATAATGACTCAAAACTGTACAGATGAAAACTTGGAGTCGTGCATCATGATTTAAGCATCTTTCTTAAGTTTTATTTGTTGATTCATGATTGTTATTTTGTTCTGATGCTAACCATGCCAATTAATTTCGTTTTTGTGCCATATATACGAATCTACCATGTTTGAATATTAGGGTTTGCAGGTTTTAAAATTGGGGTTTCCCAAACCAAGTGAAATTAGGACTCAGGGCTATGACCATTGCAATCAGCATACTCCAATGAACAGGAAGCATTAGTCGCGCCCAATTTATGAATTACATAGCTCTAATCGCTATTTTTCAATAGACCCCTTTTTGCAACGCGTTGAAAACCGTTGCCATTGGATTTTGTTTTACAGGGGTGGTGGGGACGATGAAGCGTGGCAGCCTGTGACTCGTGCGTTTAAATTTCGCGCGCTGAGTCACTAATGTTTTGTTGGTTCTTTTTATTATTAATTAGCCATTATATGTTTGAATATCCATGTAGCGCAGCTGGTAAACCATCAAGGCATTGACATCCAAGACCTGGGTTCGAGTCCCAGGTCTGAACAAGTTCCATATTATTTTTGTATACTAATTTCTATGCAGCGCTCACAATGAAAAACACCATGTTCCCTCACCATCAAGCAGCCACGCGTCCCATGAGATCAAGCCAAGGATTCAGAATTAAAGAACACCATAAGGACAAGTCAACCAGTGCATATGTGGCCTAGGAAAGTCAACAAATTCCATGTTTGTTGGGCTTGATTTGCTGAAACAAAACCTCACAAATTGGGACTACACCCCCACCCTGGTTTGCCTTTACTATTTAATTTTTTTTTTTTTTTTTATTCTTGTTTTAATTATTATTTTTATTTTAATTACTGTTTATTTAATTAATTACTTTTTTTTAACAAAATATAAAAACATCATAAAAAATTCAGAAAAGACAAAATTTAATAATTATTTTATTTTAATTATTTTTTAAATAAATTAACATGTAAATATTTAGTTTTAATTAGGTTGCCACTTTACTTCTTTTAATAACTAAAAATCCAAGAATAGAATTAGGTTTAATTTCATTCCTTTTAATTTCCTTTTTACAATAATAATATTTATTTTATTTATTTTCTATAATTAAATTTTTTGCATGTACATTAACTTAGATTTAAATTAGGTTGAAACTTAATATTTTTACAATAAACATAAAAAAACATTAGAATTAGGGTTTGACGCTTCACTTTAATTTTAATTAATTATTCTTTCATTAAATCTTAAAAAATACAAAAAATACCAAAAACATTTAATTTTTAATTTTAATTTCCTATTAAATTTAATTTTGTGCAAAAGGGTCCAACGCCCATTGTTTTAATTATTTTATTTCGCACATTTATTTTATGTCATTTATTATAATTATGTACATGTCCCAAAGCCTTGTAACAATTTTTACTTTTCGCACCTTTATTTTATCACTTTATTTATTCTTCAGTCAAATCGGGTCCGGTTTAATTTTGGCGATGTGGACCCGCGCCTTTGTAATAGTCGTAGATTTATTTTTTCTCGCAAATATTTAACTGTTAAAAAAGCATGAAAGAATGAATGTCCTAATTAAAATCAAGCGTAGATCACAACGAACTTGACAAAAGACAAATGCAAATGAAAATAACACACAATTCGCACACACCACCCCTAGGGTACGCCTCACTGTTGCCTTTCGAAAGGTGATCGTC